CTTTAGGCACTGGAGCTGCTCTAAGGTGTCCCCTTCAGGAGCCTTCTCTTCTCCAGCTGCCCCAGCCCAGCTCTCTCAGCCTGGCTCCAGAGCAGAGCTGGGCTCAAGAACGCACTGAAGCTGGGTCATGTTGAGCTTCTCATCACCCAACACCCCACGTCCTTCTCCTCAGGGCTGCTCCATCCATTCTCTGCCCATCCTGTATTTACGCATATATATAAGTGGTGCACGGTGGCAGCTCCTCCACGGTGATGTCACACCTCTGGTATCACCCCTTTGCAGCTGAAGGCAGAGCCATGTGTCCCTTCTCTCTCTCGGGATGCGGCTCTCTGGGGATGCTGAGCAACCCCACATCTCCGCTGGGGATGCTGCAGCTCAGCCTCAAGCACTGTCTGTCCTTGCAGGTCCAGCAGGTGAGCCTGATGCCAACGAGTTTCCTCGGCAGTGCCCTGCGGGGCACCTTCTTTGTCCTTTTTGGTCTCTGGTGGTCAGTGCGATACCCACTGAGGTACCTCAGGAGGAAGGGCAATGCCGAGAGCCAGCCGAGCTACGGGGCCCAGCGCGTGGAAGCCTTCGAAGGGGCTGTCAAAGCTTTCTTTGCTCTAGCAGGTAAGAGATGATGCTGTGCCCCAATATCTCCTGCCACTGCAGCCACTCTCCCATGAGACTGGGGACGTTTGAGGTGGCAAACGGCTGCGGTTGGGATGGGAGGGCTTGTGGCATGCCGCGATGGGGACCTGCAGCCGTTCCTATGGGCGAGTAAAGCCATTGCAAAGGAAGGTTTCCTGCAAGCTTGCCCCTTCCCCTGTGACCCCTCCACTCCTTGCCCAGGGATCCTGGTGGAGCAGTTTGTTCCCGCTGGGCCCCCCCTGCAGCTGTACAGCCCCGAGGCGCACGGCTGGACCGACCTCACGCGCTGGCACTACACCACCATCTACCTCTTCTTCCTCCTCTCCGGCATCGTGGATGTCGTCTCTCACTCCCCGCTCAAGCTGCCGCTCGGCTTGGACCGGCTCTCGTTGTCCGTGGCTCTGCTCATCGAAGGTGAGCGCATGGGAGAGGGAGCAGGATGGGGCAGGAGAAGGGGTCTGAGGGCCATTAGTGGGCAACAGCTCCAAAGCCCTGTTTTGAGGCCAAAAAGCACCGGCTGCATGTTCAAGTGTCCCCCTCCCTGATCCTCTCCAAGTATGGATCCATCTAAGGCTGGATTCATATTTGAGAGGGTCCCCTCCGTGTGCAGGGGATGCACAAGGACCTATAGATGTGAGCTTCTCCTTCTGACAAGCTCTGGGAAGGCTCTCTTTGGAGGTGCAAATAGGTTCTGTCCTCCCACCTTGGTTGGACGCACAGAGGAACAAACCCTGATACAAAGCTCCCCATCATCTTCTGAGCTGAAGGTCCCCATTGCTGTGCTCCTCCTGTTGGCTCTACAGCACTGGCTGGGCATGGGGGACACCACAGGGTGCTCTGAGGGCAGAGCAGACCCTGTGCTAAGGGCTGTGTGGTTCTTACAGCGTGAAGGTGGTAACAGCAGGATGTTTGCTGTCATCATGATGGGCATCGTGCCATCGTGCCCGTGTTGTGCTCTTCCCACCAAGCAGATCATAGCAAGCCCTGGAGCTCAGTCCAAGTTTTCAGGGTTCAGACTGAAAACAAAGCCCAGAGCATCCATTTCTCATGCAGGTTTCTTCTCTTGGCAGGTTTGCTCTTCTGCTTCTGCGATTACGGTGATGCTGAGCTGGACCACCACCTCCATTCCCTGCTGGCCATGGCTATCTTTGCTGGAGCCCTTTGTGCCCTCCTGGAGGTGTTCCTCCGAGACCACATCATCCTGGAGATCCTCAGGACCAGTTCCTTCCTTCTCCAGGGCTCTTGGCTTTGGCAGGTCAGTGCGTATACAGTGCTCTCCTCTGCGCAATGGGCTTTGTACCTGTTCATTACCTGTTGGGGTTAAACTTGAAGGTTAGTTGGAATAGTTTAGTAAATAAGAGGGTGAAATGAGGTTTAGCACCAAGGCTGTCATCATGGAGACATTCATGGGGAATGTATGTAGCGACAGGACAAGAGGTGACGGGTTCAAACTGAAACAGGGGACATTCAGGTTAGATCTAAGGCAGAAGTTATTCCCTATGAGGGTGCTGGCACAGGGTGCCCAGAGAAGCTGTGGCTGCCCCATCCCTGGCAGTGTTCAAGGCCAGGTTGGAAACAGGGGCTTGGAGCAACCTGCTCTAGTGGAAGGTGTCCCTGCCCGGGGCAGGGGGTTGGAACTGGAGGAGCTTTAAGATCCCTTCCAACACAAACCATTTCATGATTCTATGGACAGACTTGCGTGTTAAATGGAAATTAGACCCCACAAGGGTGGGAAACCTCAATCATGAGTTTATGTCCCTGTTATTATGTCCAATTTATTCCTCTCTTTGTTCCAAGTGACTGGAGATATCTGGGGATGTCGTGCATCACCACCCACCTTTTGGGTCTAGGGAGGAATGCACAGCCTGGCAATGTAGCCTTTGGCTTGTCGTCCTTCTCTGGGGATGCTGGGCTGCACTGTGAGTCCTAAGATTTGTCTGCAGAGCATCCCTGTCCTCCTGAAATGCACCCCTGTGCCAGTCTGGGGAGGCAAGGATGCTTGGGGGATGCTGAGGACAGTGGCCCAGATGTCCCTTGGGTTTATTGTGCCTCTAGTCCATAGTCAGCCACAGCAGGTTGGCTAAATCAGCTGGGAAAAGAGATGAAGGATGCACTTAACAGCCTGATGTGTGCTGATGCTCAACACCTCTTCTGTCCATGACCAGATTGGGTTTGTGCTGTCCCCTCCATGGGGAGGACCAGGCTGGGATCAGACCGACCGCAGCAACTTCACATTCCTCACCATGTGCTTCTGCTGGCACTACGCGGGTGCTCTCGCCGTCTTGGCAGCAAACTCTGCTGCATCCCGCTGGTATGTGGGGGAAAAGGGGGTTGTTGGGGGGTCCCAGTGCCACACATGAGCCAGGGTGGCCGAGAGCATCACCTAGACCCATTATTACACTGGGAAATCCAGTGCGTCATGGGATAAGACAAGTGGGTGTCCATGCACTAGTCCATGGAAAGGAAGGGCTCACTGCCTGTAAATACCTGACCAGTGTGTCTCTCTGTCCTGCAGCTGCAATGAGTCCTGCCAGCTGAGATTTGGGGACATCGACGTGGAGCTGGACTGTGGCATGTGCATCCGCAAAGGCAACAAGAGCTCCGGCGGTCCCCTGCTGCCCGAGAGCCCCTCGGATGACAAATGAGGCTGTGCTGGGCATGGAACCTTCTTCCTCACTGGTTTAGAGCTCTCAACATGAAGTTTTGAATTAGTCCTGATCAACTCCAGCACCATTCAATGTCAGAGCAGCAGAAGTGGGAGGCAGGACCCCAAAGGTGGAACGTGGTAGGAGATGGGAAGCCTTTCCTGCGCATCCCTTTCCCGTGCATCCCTTTGGTGCTTGCAAGAGCAAACCAGGCTCATCCAGGAAGGAGACTTTCATGTTGTGTGCTGTGAACTGCAGGACTGGTTTGTTGGTGGAGTCCAACCGTGTGGCCGATTTGGCTGGTTGTTTTAACATTATTCTTGCTGCTTCCAGCCAAACCAGTGTCCAAAGCTCCTGGTGGCTGTCGCTCACTCTGGTGTTAATGGAGGGGGTTTTGTACAAAGGTTAACGTGCACAAGGGTATATACGTGGTCTCCAATAAAGTACTTTAATGAACCACCTCAATGGATCTCCTGAATATGATGCCTTGAGATTGAAGGGCACAGTTAAGGCGATGTTTGGCTTTGCAGTGATTTGGGGGGATGGATGAAATATCAGTGGGATGGGACTTAGTGTGGCCAAATCTGCTTGGAGAAAGGGGTGGGTGGCCAGTGGAT